AACATTTTTATTTTAGCTAGTTCCTAAAATATTACATTTAAAATGAAATTTCCCATTTTAATTTAGTTTAAATTGTTGTACTAAAATAACAAAAACTGAAATAAAAATAACAACTATATAGACATTTGTATATATAAAAGAACTTCTAAACAAAAACACACAAGAACATTATTAACTGAAATTAAGATGAAAACCTGAACAATTGCTTATATGTAAGAAAATGTATGTAAGAAAAATTTATATTCACTATAGACATACATTCACCAAGACGTTTTTTTTCTCCTTGACTTTAAGACTCCTGAAAGGTGGATTTGAACTCATGGTGGCCACATGAGCACCACAGCTCAATGTGTCTGAGCATGTGCATTAACCACTAGGCCCCTGCTCCTACATCAATACTTTGTAGACGTGAGAATATGCACCCATTTTCCTGTGGCAGAAATGAATTTTTTCTGTAATATTACGGTCCACGGCTGTGGACACACTTTTTGTCTGGTTATTTTCTTGAATCAGTCCAAGCGAGTCGAGGTCAGGATGCTTTAAAAGAGAAGTGCTGAAGCATTTCAGACACACACACAACCTGACAGAGCTAAAAAAGAAGGAGAGAACGATGATTTCCTGGGACACAGAGCACAGTGGTGGATCAGTGACACAGAGCCAGGTCACGCTCCCTGAAGCGAAACATCTACACCGGACGACTGGAGTATATATATATATATATATATATATCATTTGTGATGAGGATTATGGTTATAAAAACCTAATATATATATATACACAGTATGAAATACTTTAGCTAGTTGCTAAAATATTAAATTAAAAATAAAAAAAATTTGTTTAACTTGATGTACTAAAATAACAAAACCTGAAATAAAAATGAATAAAAACTACATGCACATATTTAAAAAATAATAATAAAACTACTAAAAATGACAAAAACGCACAAGAAAATTATTAAAACCTTAATTGAAATTAAAAAGAAAACCTGAATTACGGTCCACGGCTGTGGACACACTTTTTGTCTGGTTATTTTCTTGAATCAGTCCAAGCGAGTCGAGGTCAGGATGCTTTAAAAGAGAAGTGCTGAAGCATTTCAGACACACACACAACCTGACAGAGATAAAAAGAAGGAGAGAACGATGATTTCCTGAGACACAGAGCACAGTGGTGGATCAGTGACACAGAGCCAGGTCACGCTCCCTGAAGCGAAACATCTACACCGGACGACTGCCCTCAACTTCAGAAATAAACCCTCAGACTGAATTCAAACCATGATCCTTTTCTCTTGAAAAGAGAGCAAGACAAGAATGAAAAGACTTTGAAAGAAGGATATAAAGCGGTGTATGGAATTATTGGCTATCCGTAAATGAAAATAATTAATTGTAAATAGTTTAGTAAATTTGTACTTAAAGGAGTAGTTCACCCAAAAATGAAAATGTGCTTTTTAAGATGAGGATGAGTTTGTTTCTTCATGGGAACAGATTTGGAGAAATGTAGCAATATATCACTTGGTCACCAGTGGATGCTCTGCAGTGAATGGGTGCCGTCAGAATGAGAGTCCAAACAGCTGATAAAAACATCACAATAATCCACAAGTAATCCACACCACTCCAGTCCATCAGTTAATGTCTGCATGTTTGTAAGAAACAAATCCATCATTAAGGCATTTTAATTTTAAACAGTCGCTTCTGGCCAGAATATGAGTTGATAATCGATAATAACACTTCCTTCAGTGAAAAAGTCCTGAAGGAAGACCTCTGTCTATCCCACATCAAAATCCAGCCACATATTTGTTTAGAACAGTTTTGGCTTGTAAACGGAGCTTGATCTGTGCAGATTTCTCTCCTGATTCGTGACTTTTTCACTGGAGGAAGCATTATAGAAAATATGAATAGTATTTTAGCAACAGTTTGATGTTAAAACGCATTAATGATGGATTTGTTTCTTACAAACATGCAGCTTTTCACTTCTCAAGACGTTAACTGATGGACTGGAGTGGTGTGGATTACTTGTAAATTATTGTGATGTTTTTATCAGCTGTTTGGACTCTCATTCTGACGGCACCCATTCACTGCAGAGCATCCACTGGTGAGCAAGTGATGCAATGCTAAAACAGAATATTCAATGGAAAAAAAATGTAGCGCATGACTTTGACTTTATACATCAGGAATTGATCTGCTTGTGAAACCTAAGCAGCCTTGATGACATCAACAGGAAAGGTCAATTGTTTGAATTAAAATATGAAATATTTCATTGGATAATTTAATTGAATTTTGAATATTTATTTAATTTTATTTTTTTAGTTGAAATAACGTACTGATAAATCATTCACAATAAGGCCAGGAAAACATAGAAAGTTTGAGTTCATGTTTTTAGACTAAGTGTTTTTTTTTTGTTAAGGATTTAAAAATTAACATTGCACAGAATGAATGTCAAATTAGCTAAATGTGCTAAAACAGCATTAAGTGAATTTAACAGCATTAAACGTTTAATTAATCTGAAAGGTTAATGCATTAACTTCAGCAGTGCTTCATTAATTCAGCAGATAATGTCATTTCTAGAAACACTCGGATGAAATAATCTACAAATCATTGGTTCAGAGGTGTTATGAAGTCTCCCGACATTTGCTCACAGGATGGCTTTGGACGGTCCAAGCGTGACCCATAACAGGACAGACCCGATGTACCCTCTGTCCCACAAAAGTGCCATTTAACAGAAGTCACCCCAACTGGACAGGTTACAAAAACACAGAACGACTCATTATCAGAGTCTCACGCTGAGCTCAAAACGGCCTCCGTCTCACACAAAGGGGCCTAAAAATAACAGCCCTTTTATTTCCAGCCAAAAAAGAGCCAGAAAGAGGCCAATCCTGGGCTTCAGAGGGGGAGAGAGTCTCATCCTCAGATGGCACGATCACAGACCGCCGACGGACCAGTCAATGACCCTCTGATGCAAATTGCACACAAAAAACGCAAGTGCTCTGGCAGAGCTTTAATCTGATTGGCTGTTCTTACTCATCCAAGTGGCATCCAGTTATCATACACTTATTCTGCATATTTATGATGGAAGGTCAACCCAAGTGCACTGCATTGTAGGATACAGTATTCCTCACAGTGTGCTCTGTTCTATACTGCACATTTTGGCAAATACGTCCAGAAAGTCTACATAATGTGCACAAAACCCATACTACATACTTCCAAAATAGTAGCATGCAAGTATGTGGTTTTGGTCATTAAAAACACCCTTTGGCTGTAGTATTTGACACCACCCACCGGTTGTGTTGGTGAAGACGTCAGTGGGCACAGGGCTGTCGGAGATGATGGCTGCCGTCTCTCCTGTCGCCGTTCGGTCAAAGGTCAGCGTGCCTGATGTGGTGATCTGTCCAGACGGAGTCATTGTAACTGAGAGCAGACAGACAGTCATGAGCCGTTTCCAGTGTCTCCTGAGAGAATTACTCACTTTGCTGATCCTTATGAGAGACGTCACACGGTTTGATATCAGAAAACTCACAACAGAATCACACCTGAGAGTCATAACCACCGATACAAAAAAAAAAATTATATATATATACTGTATATATGTATCTCTTTGGATACTGGAATAATAATATTATTATATAGTATTTATACAAAAAGTTTAATAATACACATCTGTATATTTATATTATTAAGTTCCACTTAAAAGGGTTTACTATTTAGATGCAACCATAAAAAATTCATTTTATTTCATATTTCATATATTTTTTTATTAATATTTTTGATTCCTTTTTAACATAATATTAATATTTATTTATATTGCTTGATTAAAATAAATCAAATAATACAATGAAAATAAATTATAAAAAAATACCAAATAAATCAAATAATAAATAAATTATATAAAAATTCAAAATTCATTATTTTATGTATCTGTAAATTATTAAAAAATACAAAATAAATCAAATAATAATAAATAAATTATATAAAAATTCAAAATTCATTATTTTATGTATCTGTCTGAAATACAATATGCAATTAATGACATTTCCAAAACAAACAACAAAAAACAAAGATGCAGAAAATTATGCACTTTGTTTTTTTATTTTATTAATTTTGTTTTTTATTATTTATTTTTAGTAATTTATTAATTTGTGTATTACATATTATGTATTATGTATTTTATTTTAGTCAGAAGCAGAAAATAATGAATTTTGGTTTCGGATTTAATTGTTTTATTTTATTATTATTTTATTTATTTAGTATTTTTAAATAATTTATTTTATTGTATTATTTTAATTAATTATAATTATTATATATGTATATATATTTATATATAATATAAATATTTATTATATATGTATATATATATATATATATATACACACACATATATATTCCATCAACACCAGCTTGTGATGTTGTTAGTTGCTGGCCTACACGAAAAATTATTTTTTTTAAAATTAGTTCTGAACTCATGCCGAGTTAATTAATAAATTAAGTCATTTTATTTTCATTTAGCAGCAAAAAAATTTTTTTCTCAACAACATCAGAATCTGGTGACAGGAGACGCGGTTTAGATGGATGTTAATACCAGGTGCAGGTGGTAATCTGTCTTGACTGACAATGTTTGATGGGATGTAAATATTGGGAATAAATGTGCGGAGGCACAGGGGAACAGTAAGGCTCTTACATGTTGCTCCAGGAGCCAGGGTGATATTCTTTGGAGAATGAACTTCCTTCTTCTCAGGAGAAGCTGCCCGCTCGCTGTCCTTCTTCCTTCTTTTATAAGGGACGAACAGTCTGACGGGGCCCGTCTGTAGGGCACCAAAATCCACAATTAGTCTCTAGAGCGATATGACATCACAACTGAGACTTCAGCCATTACAAATTACCATGGAGACGTCCTCTCCTTCGAAAGATCCGTCCTTCGTACACTGCAGAAGAAACAGGCAAAGAAAGAGGAGTTTTGCTACAGTATGTAAGCTAAATGAAATAAGCAAGATTTTTTCCATTTAAAACAGATTCACATGCAACATACTTACGCTGTATATTTATTTTTGCATAATATTAATATTATATTTATTAAATCTATATGATTATTATTTTACTGTTTTTTAATAATAACCTTTATATAATAATATTTTATAAATATTTTATTTTTATTTTATTTCATAGTATATTTTTATTTTGATTCCTTTTTTACATAATATTTATTTAGAAATATATTGCTTGTTTGAATATTTTTTCTGTATTTAATTTTATGATTTTATATTATTGTGTAATAATAATACTTAAATAACAATTCATATAAGTATTATATAATGGTAACTTGTAATATAAATCATATAATTAATAAAAGTGTGTGTGTGTGTGTGTGTGTGTGTGTGTGTGTGTGTGTGTGTGTGTGTGTGTGAGTGTGTGTGTGTGGCCTCCAAAGGCTGGTCTGACCTGAATGAGACACTGTAGAGGTCGGCCGGCGTAGCGGATACTTCTCTTCCAGTCTTTGCTGCTGGCTCTTCCTGACATACCCTCAAACTCTGTCGGGGTGTACCAGTTATTGTTGTGTTTGATACAGCGCCCTTTGCCCCCTGAGGTCAAAGATTAAAGATCAGTCACTGGCTGTGTCTCAATTCTTATATTATGTGTCCTTGTATAGTAATGAGTGTGTCTTAAATCATGGCACATAGAAAACAGTATGCCAAAGCAGCCCAGATAGTGAACTATTTTCCAGTGGATTTCTCATGTCTTTGGGCTTATAGTACCCACAATTCCTTGTGCAGCTGAAAAACCATTTGTGATGTTTCTCTTCTGACCTTTTTAGTTGTAAAAAAAATGTATGTAAGACTTACTATCACATCATTAAATTGTGTCTTGACACTATAAAGCCAGTAACACTTTACTATAAAGTCCTTAGTAGGTTACATTGACTAATGCATTAACTAACATTACCTAACAATGAGCAATACATTCGTTACAGTATTGGTTAATCTGTGTTAATGTTAGTTAATAAAAAATGCAACTGTTCATTGTTAGTTAATGTCAGCTCAGGTCCAGTAAATAATATTGTAAACACTGTAAATAATAACAGATACAGCTTTTTAAATACATTGTAATAATGTATTAGTAGATGTTGACATGAACATTAACTCAGATTAATAAATGCTTTACAAGTGTTTTTCATTGTTGGTTCTTGTTAACTATTATAGTTAACAAATGGAAACTTACTGTAAAGGGTTACCTCATTTTTGTGCATTATTTTGCGTTTTCATGTAATATTTATCACCTAGCAAATACGTTACTTTAAAATTCATCATTTGAGGTTTTTAATTTAAAATCTGCTGTGAGAACTTTCCTCACCATTTTTTCACAACTAAATAAAGTCTAATAATAAAAATACTACTACTAATAACAAGCGTATTGTTTTAATTATATTATTGTGATTATAATTACAAAATAAAATTTAATTACTTGAAAATACAAAATATTACTATTGTAATATTTCATTGTAAAACACAAAAAGTATTTAAGAAAAAATTATATAATAATAATTTGTAAAATAATAAATGAATAATAATTTTAAAGTTTGAAAATCAAGAAATTAATACAGTCATAAATATTAGCATTGTACTTTTACAGTTTTCTTTCAAATAAAATTATAATTACTTAATTTTATTAAATACTCACTTACTTGATTTCTTTATTTTGAAGTGAAATACTTAGTATTTGTATGTATTTATTCCGTAATAATCATCATAATAAAAGAAATAATAATCGTTGTTATTAATTATTGCTTTATAGTCATATTCATATATAATCACAAAGATTTGAAGTTGTGCAGCCCTACAAACAAGCACAGCAAACCCGTAGTTTTTTAAAATCCCATTTTAAATCACAATTTTTTTGAACAGCAAAATCGCAATTAGTTTTCCCCCCCAAATGCAAATTAGGCTGCAGCCTTTGTTACTGCCAATACTGTCCTGACAGCTTGTTAACCTGCAGATGATCATGTGTTTGATTTCCTGCACACTTCCTGAGAGGTTTTGAAACACACAGCTGGCTTAGTGTTAGTCGTGTGACGCCCTCTTGTGTCGACTGTGTACCTGAGCCCAGTCTGCTTTTGTACAGAATCCCGCTGGTGTTCCTGCAGCGCACGGGGAGCTCGTTGTCGTAAACCGACGGATCCCAGTTGTACTTAGAGACGTCCTTATCGTGTCCAGACGTCAGAGGGGTGCTCGGGGTTTGAGGACCTGAGAGGGAAAAACACACACGAGTATAGAAATACTGCATTTCACAGACTAACTAAAGTTGAAAAAGTGAAAAAGCATAATAGGACCCCTTTACGTCTAGTTTTATAGCTCCTAGCAGTCCAGTTTACCAGGTGTCATAGGTGTTGCGGTGCCTTTCAGCCCTGTGGCGTCCACGATGCTCCCATCCGTGTGCACCACGATCAGCGTGGCCTTCTGGGTACTCAGACTGTCTCCGATCTGAAGCGTAGTTCTGCCTGTCTACATGAATCAGTTAAGACATATTAAATCTGATGTTTTTATTTTGATCCAAAACATATCTGTCCTAACATTTATTTCACACTAACTAAAAATAAACGGTATTACCGTGATTATTTTGGACTAAATCTAAAACTATAAAACTATTTTTGTTAACTTAAATAAAATAAACCCTACCTGAAATTAAATAAAATATAATAAAATTTTATTTTATTTCAGCTAGTTGAAGAGAAAACCTCTCATTTTCATTTAGTTTAACTTGACGTACTAAAATGACTACAGAAATCAATAACAACTATAATAAAGTATATATTGTATAAATAATAATATTAATAAAATTATATATATATATAATACAATTATATAAAAAACTAAAACTAATAAAAAATGACACACACAATCAAATTATATCAACTATTATATCAAGTATATCAACTTTAAGTACTAAAATAACTAAAAATTAAATAAAGCCTACAGTGAAATAATAAATTATAAATAGTATATGTTTTTAAAAATTTTAATTGTGATTTTTGTAAATGTAACTTTTTTAAGTTCCAGGTTTGCTGCGCCTCTTTGTTATATTACAGGTTTGCTCCTGATTTAAAAGCTGCTTCAAAAGGTAGGAAGCATAATTACATATTTTGGCCAAATTCTTAGGAAGCATTGCATGATGCATTTTTATGCGATATTCCAAAATGTGCATAAAAATAGGTGGATGGAAACATAGCTATTGACATAAAACACATCAGCAATACCCCACTCATGTTTTTTTTAAAGGGGTCCTATTATGCTCTTTTTCAAAGTCTTGATTTTGTTTTGGGGGTGTACTAGAACAGGCTCTCATACTAGGTTGTTTGAAAAACACATTATTTTTCACATATTTTACATTATTACAACACCTCTCTCCCCAGTCTGGCATGAACGGCTAGAATAGTTCCTGCATCAAATGAAGGCCCGGGTTAGCTGGGCCAGTGTGCGTTGTGATTGGTTAGCTGGGCCAGTGTGTGTTGTGATTGGTTAGCTGGGCCAGTGTGTGTTGTGATTGGTTAGCTGGGCCAGTGTGTGTTGTGATTGGCACCACTCGGCGCCTGGTCGGGAAATGTCATGCCCCTTACCATAGCCGCCTGCGAGCTTCAGTGTAAATATTGCGTCAAAATCAAATCAATTTGAGCGCGATTTAAACCCGGATGATTGTAACCACTCTAAGTTCGTCTGCCTTGGGAAAGCTAGCGTGTCTCCGACATAGTGATAACACTCGTTGCCTTCTCTAGTGCAGCTCAACCAGGTCTCGTCCCATTCGTCGATATTTGTGATATCACAAATCCTGGAAAATATGCGTTTGTAGTCCAAACGAGTCATTCGTTGTAGTTTTTGAAAAGTGATTTCTGTTAAATAAAATATCTCCTTTTGAAATGGACTTTGAGCTTTGTAACTTTTTTTTGCTCAAACAGCAACATTACAGACTAACTAAAGTTGAAAAAGTGAAAAAGCATAATAGGACCCCTTTACGTCTAGTTTTATAGCTCCTAGCAGTCCAGTTTACCAGGTGTCATAGGTGTTGCGGTGCCTTTCAGCCCTGTGGCGTCCACGATGCTCCCATCCGTGTGCACCACGATCAGCGTGGCCTTCTGGGTACTCAGACTGTCTCCGATCTGAAGCGTAGTTCTGCCTGTCTACATGAATCAGTTAAGACATATTAAATCTGATGTTTTTATTTTGATCCAAAACATATCTGTCCTAACATTTATTTCACACTAACTAAAAATAAACGGTATTACCGTGATTATTTTGGACTAAATCTAAAACTATAAAACTATTTTTGTTAACTTAAATAAAATAAACCCTACCTGAAATTAAATAAAATATAATAAAATTTTATTTTATTTCAGCTAGTTGAAGAGAAAACCTCTCATTTTCATTTAGTTTAACTTGACGTACTAAAATGACTACAGAAATCAATAACAACTATAATAAAGTATATATTGTATAAATAATAATATTAATAAAATTATATATATATATAATACAATTATATAAAAAACTAAAACTAATAAAAAATGACACAAAAATACTACAACTTTAACTAAACTTAATGAAATTATAAAAAAAAAACTAATTCAAAATACTGATAAAAACTATAATAGTATCTAAATGATACTAAAATAATCTAAATGATAACTAAAATAAATGATACTAAAATGTTAACTAAAATAGTTTTTGTTTGCATAATATATGTGTATGTACTGTGTATATTTATTATGTATATATAAAAGCACACACATACAGTATATATTTTGAAAATATTTACATGTATTTACATGTATATATTTATATTAATATAATTTATATCATGTATAAATATATTTAATATATAAACGAAACATATTTTTCTTAAATATATACATGCATGTGTGTGCATTTATATATACATAATAAATATACACAGAACACACACATAGTATGCAAACAAAATCTTTTATTTTGGATGCGATTAATTGCGATTAATCGTGTGACAGCACTAAATAAAACATAATAAAAACAAGTTTTATTCAATAC